TCCTGGCAACATTCCCAAAGCAATGCCCACACTTGGGCTGCAAAGCTGTCTTCAGATCCTATCTGGATAAGGTCTCCTAGGAGCATCAACATGTCCACTCGATCTAGCTCCTCAACTGCAGCATGGCTGTTCCCCAGGCTGATCAGAGACACTGTTCAGGAAGCATAACTGGCATCAGACAGAAAGAGAGAGAAAGGGGAGAAGAGAGAAAGAGAAGGACAGAAAGAGAGAAAGCAAGCCAAGCAAGTGTGAGATCTCCAGAGAGAAACCATCATCAGAAAGCCAACAGCTTCATGAAAAGAAAACTGCTCAGGGCAGTACAGGGTCCTCAGCAGGCAAGATGGGACCCAGTTTGTAAGATGGCCTACCTGGCACATTGTCAGCCCTTGGCTGCAAGGAAGGGGCAAGGGGACAGGAGTATGACTGCATAATGTGCCCTTTGGAAGTTACAAAGGAGGCTTTGCGAGGGAGCGATGCCAGAGGACAGGTGCACCCAAGCGCTAGGGTTGTGCACATTGCTTTCAGCCAACATAGGTGTATCTGACTGATGAGCAGATGGTCTTTTCCAGGAACCAGGCCTGATACCTCTTGCACTTTTAGTGTAGGAGAAGCTCTCTCTAAGCGCACTGCTCTGCCCCAGCAGTTATGTGAGCATGGCGCTTTGGATGCTTTCATTCAGATGACATCCGTCATCTGCAGGTCACTATATGAACACGTGTTTCATGGCTATCTGGCAGAAGCAAAGAGCCTATGAGAAAAGGTGATGTTCTCAAAGTGCAGGATTCAGAGCAAAATGGGTTATGCAACACAATCCACAATACAGGCTGGTACATGAATAATGCTGATATGCTTGTCTTCAGCTGGCAATATACTGGCTCATCACAAGATGCAGTGGCCCTAATTTCTACACCACCATCAACTAGCATGGACTCAGTGTATAAGAACAGTCCTGCATGTCCTGTGTCCTGCATTATGAAGAGAGCTCTCTTCATTCAGTCACAGCATCACAGAATTACAGACTGGTGGAGGCTGGAAAGGACCTCTGGAGGTCATCTTGTCCAACCCCCCTGCTCAAGCAGGTTCATCTACAGCCAGTTGCCCAGGACCATGTCCAGACAGCTTTTGAGTATCTCCAAGGAGGGAGATTCAACAAACTCTCTGGGCAACATCTGCTAATGCTCAGCCTCCCTCACAGTGAAAACGTGTTTGCTTATGTTCAGATGGAGCCTTCTGTGTTTCAGTTTCTGCGCATTACCTCTGGTCCTGTCACTGGGCACCACTGAAAACAGCCTGGCTCCATCTTCTTTGCACCCTCCCTTCAGGTATTTATATATACTGATGAGATCCTCCTGAGCCTTTTCTTCTCCAGGCTGAACAGTCCCAGCTCTCTCAGCCTTTCCTCATAGGACAGATGCTCAGGTACTTTTTCCATGTTTAGATATTGTTATTTTGTCACTGCTCAGTTTTCTCTTCTTCAGAATATACAGCTCCAGGTCCTCAAGGCTCTTTTTGTTGATCATTTCCTTGTCTTCTCACCATTCTTGATGTCCTCTGCTCCCGCCACAGCCCGCCCACTACACTGTGGTCACTGCACCTCCGGAAGAGAAGACCAGTGTAGCACTTCTTTACAGACTGGACTCTGATCTGTGCATGCCATGAGAGCTGTGCCTTTTCTGTGCAGCATGTGGCTGGCTGGTCATGGGCAGTGTGTGGCATGTTTGTTCCTGCACATCTCAGCTTGCACCATCTCTGGCAGGTCAGGCCCCACTAAGGCTTTTGCAGCTGGGCTCCGCTGGTTCTAGGAGAGAACTTGGTATTTGTCCTGCTGGCCTTAGCTGCAGCTGGGGCCGCAACCCCAACCAGCACAGTGTCTTCTGCAGATTAAATAAGCCTAATGTCTATTCCTTTATGCAAGTTGTTAATGGTTTAACCCCAGCCGGCAACTAAGCACCACACAGCCGCTCACTCATTCCCCCTCCAGTGGGATGGGGGAGAGAATCAGACGAGTAAAAGTGAGAAAACTCATGGGTTGAGATAAAGATAGTTTAATAGGTAAAGCAAAAGCCGCGCACACAAGCAAAGCAAACCAAGGAATTAATTCACTCCTTCCCATCGGCAGGCAGGTGTTCAGCCATCTCCAGGAAAGCAGGGCTCCATCACGCGTAACGGTGACTTGGGAAGACAAACACCATCACTCCGAACGTCCCCCCCTTCCTTCTTCTTCCCCCTAGTTTATTGCTGAGCATGATGTCATACGGTATGGAATATCCCTTTGGTCAGTTGGGGTCAGCTGTGGGTCCCGGCCGTGTCCCCTCCCAACTTCTTGTGCACCCCCAGCCTACTCGCTGGTGGGGTGGTGTGGGAAGCAGAAAAGGCCTTGACTCTGTGTAAGCACCGCTCAGCAATAACGAAAACATCCCTGTGTTATCAACACGGTTCTCAGCACAAATCCAAAACATAGCCCCATACTAGCTACTATAAAGAAATTTAACTCTATCCCAGCCAAAACCTGCACACAAGTCTTTAACAACTCTAGAAGAGTGCCAGATGCAGGACAGACCTCCAGGTAACACCCTCTATGTGTCACTGCAGTTTGACTACTGATAACTAACTCTGAATAGGGTTTTCTGACTAATTATGCTCTCGCCTAATAGTAGTTCAGTCTATATTGTCTTATTAATTTCATTCCGAGAACCTCATGTGAAAGAGCATGAAATTAAGACATTTAAGACACACAACATCAGCTCCTTCTGTCCCTTTCCCACAGGCCCTTTGGCCTGATACAGAAGGAAGTAAGATTGGTCTGACCAACTTTGCATGAGTCCAGGCACTTACAAATTCATAGAATCATAGAATAGTTTGGGTTGGAAGGGACCTCTAAAGACCATCTAGTCCAACCCCCCTGCAGTGAGCAGGGACATCTTCAACTAGATCAGGTTGCTCAGGGCCCCGTTCAACCTGACCTTGAATATTTCCAGGGATGGGACATCTACCACCTCTCTGGGCAACCTGGTCCAGTGTTTCATCACCCTCATCGTAAAAAATCTCTTCCTTAAATCTAGTCTGAATCTGCCCTCTTTTATTTTAAAACCATTACCCCTTGTCCTATCGCAACAGGCCCAGCTAAAAAGTTCATCCCCATCTTTTTTATAGGCCCCCTTTAAGTATTGAAAGGCCGCAAAAAGGTCTCCCCAGAGCCTTCTCTTCTTCAGGCTGAACAACCCCAGCTCTCTCAGCCTTACTTGCTGTATTATTTTCCAGGAATCGAAGTAAGGCTGGCCAGGCATAGGACCAAATTTAAGAAGTCACAGGCTACTATCAAACATGTGCTTGCATTTGGCCCAAGGCCATGTGGCCCAGAAGCCCTAGAGGCAGCCTTGCAGCTAGAAGTGCAGTGCTTGGAGGTGGGTGGGATGGCATGGATGTGAGCAGCATCGCTGACATCCAGTGATGAGCCGAAGGAACAGAGCAGGAGCTGACAGGCCCCGGAGAGCACTTTTGTACAAAAGGGGTGTGCTCCCCCAGGTTTCACCTGCAGAGCATGGTACCTCAGGATCATCGGCATCTGCTGCAGAGCGTCTGGATAGAAACAGACGTGCAGGAAGCATTTGGAGTTGTGCTCCTAACAGTGAAGTACCAGAAGCACTCGGCACCGGGAGAGCTGCTGTAGGGCCAGATCAGCCACTGGAGTGAGTCCAGCAGAGCTCTGCATGGGGCTGCTCAAAGATGGGCTGTGTTGCTGTGTGGGGTTGCGGCTTGGGGCAAACACTGAGGTTCCTACTACCATGAGTCAGAGATCTGATCTGAGTGCCTCCTCAGGTGGGATCACTGCTACACCACTTAGACACACACAAGTCTATGGGGCTGGATGGGATCCACCCAAGGGTACTGAGGGAGCTGGCGGAGGTACTAACCAAGCCACTTTCAATCATTTATCAGCAGTCCTGGCTAACCGGAGAGGTCCCAGTTGACTGGAAGTTAGCAAATGTGACGCCCATCTACAAGAAGGGCCAGAGGGAGAATCGGGGGAACTACAGGCCTGTCAGTCTGACCTCGGTGCTGGGGAAGGTTATGGAGCAGATCATCTTGAGTGCCACCACACAGTATGTACAGGACAACCACACGATCAGGCCCAGGGAACTGGGGTTGTTCAGCCTAGAGAAAAGGAGGCTCAGGGGAGACCTTATCGTGCTCTAAAACTACCTGAAAGGAGGTTGTAGTGAGGTGAGTGTCAGTTTCTTCTCCCAAGAAACAAGCAATAGGACAAGAGGAAATGGCCTCAAGTTGTGCCAGGGAGGTTTAGATCGGGTATTAGGAAAAAAATTCTTCACGGAAAGGTTTGTCAAGCATTGGAACAGGCTGAATCAACACTTCCCTCAACCAGGGAAGTGGTTGAGTCACCATCCCTGGAGGCATTTAAAAGACGTGTAGATTTGGTGCTTAGGGTCACGGTTTAGTGGTGGACTTGGCAGTGTTAGGTTAACAGTTGGACTTGATGATCTTAAAGGTCTTTTCCAACCTAAACAATTCTATGATTCTATGAAGTGTCATGGGGCAGCCCCGTGAGGTCCTCATGTGCTGGTGGACTGGTGAGAGGAAGGAGTTTGCCTTTGTGTGTCACATCCAGCCCCAAGGTCCTTTGGCAATCCACAAACACCGCCCAGTCCCACAGGGTGAAACATGCTCAGTGCTTCCAAATGGCTGAAGTCTCAAAGCTAAAGCTTGTGACAGAAATTGAATAAAAGCAAATATTTAAATAAAATTATAAACTAGCATCAGCATTTATTTCAGAATGTCTTTTTCAGAAACCAGCGCAGGCAGCAAATTCAGAGCAAGGAAGCTGATAGAGCCAGTACAAACCAGTAGTTAAAAAATGCAAGAAACTAAGGGGAAGTCAGAGACATCAATGAAGTATCAGTAAAGTGAGCAGCGCTGTTAAGGGAAACATGAAACTCTTACATTACCCTGGGGCCAAACGCAGTCCCAGCGGTGACAGAGGCCAGTGGTAGACCAATGTGGAAGAGTGACAAGACTACGGATCATAGATAAGTAATTAAACAGTCTGATCTCTTTGGGACTTGGGCTAAGCACCACGCAGAAGTGAATTCTGGTCTGGGCTAGGGCTGATCTTCCAGTGATTTTTAAAAAAGCCAGAGATGAGAAATCTACATCCACCATAATAAGCTATTCTAAGATGCAATTAACTAGTAGATTAATTACCCTTGCTATTAAAAATGTGTCTCATTTCTAATATGTGTTTGCCCAGCTTCAATTTCCAGCCACTGGATCTAGTTTTACCTCTAAGTGCCAGTCAGAAGAACTGGCAATGCTGAATAAACTCTGCAGCCTGCCCCTCAGGAAGTTTGGTAAGGCGCAGTTGAGGACCAGCAATGGATGTCAGCGTGGCGATGGAGAGTGTGTTTAGCCCACATGCCCACAGTGCTTTGCGGAAGACTGCTGTCAACCCTTCCTGCTCTGTAAATCCAGGACCGAAGAACAGGCACCTACAACTGCACACAGGACTCCAAAGATTGACCGTGGTGTGTCCAACCACCACCTCTCCGAAATTCCCACTGCCAGGAATCACTGGCAATCCACAGCTCACTTATGGCTGTTCTCTTGAACCCTCTCCAATTTCTCAATTTTTTTAAAATGTCAACCCTAGAGCAGGATGCCTCAGAAGCAAAGAATCCAAAGAATTGCAGTCTCTAGGCACCTGTCCCAGGTTTCTGTGTGTAAACACACATTCTGCATAATGAAAACCAAGAACTCAATAAATATTTCTGCTCTGTATTTGGAACAACAATGGATAATATTCATATTTTACAGTGGTAATGGAATACTTTCTATTCCATCAGTAGTTAAGGAAGATGCTAAAGAGAAACTGTTTAAGTAACAATTTTTATAATCTGCAGGAGGATAACTTACATCCAAGAGTATTTAATTGGCTAACGAGTTCACTGAACCATTGATTTTTTTCTTTATAACAAATCATGGCACACTGGGGAACTTAAGATAACTGGGGGGGAAAAAAAATCCAATGTCTTGCCAGTATTTAAATGTGTTCACACAAATATCCAAGAAACTACAGAGCAGTTAGTTCAACATACATCCCAAGCAATCACAGACAAGCAGCCAAAGGATGTCCTAGGTAAATTAGTAAAAGCTAGAACCCAAATTACTGTCATTCAAATTAATGTCATTTGAAATAGGTACTTTCAAATAATTTTATGTAATGTTTGTAAGCCTACAAGTTTGATAGAGCTAACTAGGCATGCTTAGACTCCTGTAAGTCATTTGACTTAGTTCTGCATGACATTCTAATAAGAAAAATTAGCTGTATGCTACAGTCAGTGTGATTAGTATTAACAAATTTGAAAAATTGGGTAACTGAGAAGACTTATTCTATATAGCCATTTGATAGATGTATTTCTAAGTGTATTCTATTCACGTACCAATGCTATATGTTATTAGTAATCAGGGAGAAAATAAAAAAAAATGCTGGTAAAATTATTGGGGTAGATAAAAATGAATTGTTGGGATGGTAAAAGTAACAGGTGGTACTTGCCCAAGACAACCTAATCTGAATTGCTTGAAACACCAGGTTCATGAAAAACCTGTTTTGTTATGTCTAAGTATAAGGTGCAACATACAGGAAAGAAGAATGTGAGCTTCATTTTAAAACAGGGATGGCAACCCTGGACAGTAATGAGTCTGAAAAACATTTAGAGGTTGCAACATATGCCATCTGAAAACAAAACGTGCTGAATGGAAGGGCATCACTGCCAAGGCCATCCTCCCGGACTGTGTAAATAATCAAGTAATGTCAAATATGAATCTAAGGTTCCTGAGACATTTGTGTAGATTTCACATCCACACAGCTAAGAATAACTCTTACACAATCATAGCGCAACCACATTTTGAATGTTGTGCGCAGTTCTAGTCCCTTCATCTCAAAGTGGTGCACTAGAATTAGTAAAGGGACAGGAAAAGCCTGTGCTTGTGGTTAAGGGTTCGGTGACAGCTTCCACGCAGGGAATGACACAGTTGAATAGAATTCCAGCCCGAGTAAGGAGAGAAATGCCAGGGATCTATATGGTTTTGAATAGTATGATGAAGACGAATAGACTATAGTTGCCCGCATATTCTTAGAATACAGGAGTTAAAAGGCATCAAATGAAACAAGAAGGTGTCAGCGTAAAGACAAATAAAAGGAGGTGATCAATACAATTTGCAATTAAGTTATCCTTGCCACAAGGATATCAGAATGCTCAAACATACATGAGTCCAAAAAGTGACTGTTCAAATTTATGGAAGAAAAAAAAAATCTCTACATCTGCCCCCTACAAAGAGGCCCTTTTGACTTAAAAATACCTGAAATGCAATTTACAGAGCTCAGGGGTGGGGATGGACATCCTAGGGAAGGGCTTTTCTATACTTGCTTTGTCCTTGTACCCTTCTATAAGTACCATTATGGTTTACTAGTCCACCCATTATGGCACGTCATGCTCTTTACTGAGGAACAGGAAAGATCAAGTAAGAGTCGAGCAGATATTCAAGGCTGGGAAGCCTCCAGGAGTTGATCTTTCAGTTAAAAGAAAGGGATACTAGGAATAGGCAATGCCTTGACTGCACAGAGAGGGTCAGAGTAAGACCCAGTGGCTGCAGCTAGGATGGAAACTTCTGTCTAGAAATGGGATGCATTTTTATTCCCCCTGAGCACATCACTCCCACTTGGACAGCCGCACTGAGAACGTGGCAGTGGACTCACAATACTTCAGCCAGTCATGAGGGTGTCTCTTTCTGACTGCTCTGCCCAAAAACCCAGGTGGATGCTGAAGCAGGAACAACAGCATGTGCCCAAGAGACATTTCCAGTGAGCCTGGGACACTGGCAATCAGCAGCTGCCTGTGGCAGTTGATAAAAACACATCAGAACCACATGCCCCTGTGCTAATAATGTCACATGCTTGCCGTCCTCGGTTGAGATCATAGCCCTCACACTTAGGACAGCTAAATTTCCCTGGAATAACTCCTGTCCCAGCAAATACATTCAATGCTGCACTAGAAATTCCCCCTTTAGAAAAAGTAGCACAGCTTGTTATATTGTCAAAATGTGCTCTGGAACATCAAACCTTTTTAATTCTGTTCTTGTATATGTTTTTAAAAATCAATTTCTAATCGATTAGCATAACTGAGTTAAACTCAGAGCATTTGTTCTCAGCGTGCACTTAGCTTGAACTTTTCTCCTTGTTTCAGTTCTGAAAAAGGGCTTGAGTGCCCAAAAGCTTTTCTGGTGGGTTTTTTTTGGGGGGGTTGGTTTTTTCCCCCAGTTAAATCAGTCAATCTGTAGAAGATGCTCCCCTTTTCCTACTAGCCTCACATTGCTTGAAAATGTTACTCATTAGTATCCTTACACACAATGAAATCATACCCTTTTAATTTCAGGGGGAACACAGATGAAATCTAGTCCATGAAGACTTGTGCCCAGGGATGGCTTGCCCCTCTCAGCCACCTGCCTGACCTCAGCCCTCCCACTTACGCTGGGATCCCCTGCCTGCAAACCTGGTAGCTCTGAAAGGAACCCTGGAAATTCACCTGCAGTCCCAGCATGGGTCCTTCATTACAACAGATGCCTGTCTATGCCAAGACGCCTTTGTCCAAAGAGGAACTGGCAGTGCCAGGAGTTGGCCTGCCCATGTATGTAGTGGCACTGCATGCTGCTGTGTTTGCAGAAACAAAACACTGCAGGTTCACCTCCTTCAACTGAGCTGCCCTCATCACCCAAATGCAGAACAGACTTCAGAACTAGCAAAAGTAATCAGCAAGACCTGAGCCGTGGCTTTAAGTCTAACAGCTGCAAGAAACAATTACAAAATAAAGCAAACCATTAAATTCAATCCTTCCCTGTCCTTAAGGTGATATTATCTTAGTGGCTGAGTACACATTATTGAACATATGTTATTGCAGGCATATGGACAGTGCTGGAAAGAAGAAGGACTGGTAAAACAGCCCCACATGTACTCTCTGCAGACTGCCTTCATACCAAAGATAGCCATTCAGGCTAAGCAATTCCAGACTGTGCTGCCACCAAAAGGGACAGACCCTCCTTTTTCAGCTCCTCCCCTAGTCACAGACATGATCTGGCTAAAAATGAAGACTATGAAGTGGTGATTACAATTTGGGAGCAAGACTACAGGACCTGCTCCCATAAACAGATCACCCTGAACAGACACGCGAGCACAGCCAGCAGGAAGGTGGTGACTTCAGGCTGGGTTCCAGCTCTGGTTCAAGGAAAACACACTACTGATGCCTGGTAAGAGTGGGGGCCATTATCCAGGTATTTTAAAAGCTTTGACTCTCCTGCTCCCTTCATCTCTGTTTTGCGGATAGTCTTGGTACGTCACCATGAGCCAACACCTCACCTCTCTGCCCATGGATGTCATAAAGCACATTGTTAAACCTTTTTGAGTTATACCATCTCTACACCGCAATAGTAGTACCAGCACACACACACAGGCTGCCACAACTGGTTTCCTGACGCCTTTTGTAAGCCTGTAACATGTGAACACATTCCTGTTGTATCCTGTTAGCATTCATGCTGTGGTGCATCGCTGGTGAGAGTGCATTAGGAATGGCATGCTGAACCTCACACAGCTATTTCAAGCTTGCTATTTCAGAGCAGCATGGTCTAGTTGTGTAAGGTGGTGATAATTAGGGGAGCAGAGCTACACCCTGTGTCCCGACAGAGGCAGAAAAAGACAGAAGCACTGAGTCTGCTTAGCCTTCAGATCTGTGTGTTCCAGTGTCCTGGCGCTGATGTGGACATTAACAGAGGCCCTGAAAGACTAGTGCACCAAGAGGACCAAACTGCAGTGCTGCCCTAGTGTACCTTCTGCCAGCCAGCAGCAGTTCAGGCACTGCTTGAAACAGAAGCAGGACTGGGGTTAGCTCACAGCAAATCTTTAAAGGATGGTTAGTGCTTTGATTTCTTTACAACTGTGTCTTTAAATTGCAGAAACAAATGTTACCCTTTACCTTGTCTAGAGCGTGGTGCAGCCAAGGCAGCAGTGTGTGGACCTGTACTGTGCTCTGGTAGATGCTAGCTGGGCTGTCACAGGGGCTGGCTGCTCTGTACCCAGGGGACCGGCATTCTCAGGGCATGCTTCCTCCTCGCCCCACATCAAAGTCCTCAGTGCTGGCACAAGCACTGCTGTCCTGCCACAAGCTGCAAGGCCAGGCAACCCCAGACATTGTACCTGCATGGGAAGTGTTTGTCTGGGAGGCCTCAGCCCCATACCTACCACACATTCCCCCATGTCCTCTGAGAAACAGATGGACGCATAGGTCTGAGAGTGCACATGCCACTATGCATGGCATGTCTCATGGATGACCTCTGTCAGGACAGTCTTCAAGGCAAGGTAGAAGTTGTATTCTGGTACATATAGAGAAAGACTAGGGTTTGTTCCAAACACCTTTGGGTACAAACTGTAAACGACTGAAGACAGGATCCCAACAAATGCCCAGGGCACCAGGGCTGCCTGGTTCAGGTTTGAGTTTGTAGATTTGGGATAGGGAGACTGATACCCTACAATCAGAACTGTGATCAGTGCAGTGTATTTGCTCCTTGTCCCACAAAACGCCCTAATCCCCATCTCTTGCTTTTTTTCATGAGTCTAGAGATTGTCCTGATTAGTATGGGTAAACAGAATGCTCCAAAATAGGTGCATGAAGCAGAGCACAAGCCTGGCTGGGACAGGAACACAGTGACAGGTTTGGCATGGGGGGCTGATGTGGCCTAGCAGGAAGTGTGCAAGGGGAAGGGGTTAGCTAGGAAGGCACAGACTGCACCGACAAGGGTGGAACATCTGCACAGAAAGACACAATAGGACTGGAACCGCAGCCCTTAGTAGAGGATGTCCTCGAAGCTGAGCAGCAGGAAACGGTGCAAGGCACTTGGCAGGTGCAGCTGAGACAGGACCAGAAGCAACCGGCCCTCCAGGAAGGTCCTGAGTGTGCAGCGAGCCAGGTGCTGCAAGGAGCGAGGTCTTTGCTCCAGGGAGAAAAGTGACTGGTAGAAATGTGGGTATTTCTACAGAGAGAGAAGAGAGGACCAGAAGCAGATAAAGCTGAAGATACCACCTTGGGAGCAGAGGTAGAACCAGACATACCTTCACCTTACTCACTATGGTGCATCCTCCCTATCCCCTAACACCACCACCCCTGTGCCCTGCACATCTCCACCCAGCCCCAGCCCTGCCCCAAACCCCCCTCAGCCCCAAGCCTCTTCTGGCACCCTGCCGCGGTAGTCCAGCTGCATGTTCTCCAGCTGGCAGCATGCATTCCCTCACCTGTACAACCTCTGCGGGAACCGCTTCTACCCAGTCCTCAGTGACACGCACGTGTTCATAGCTGTTCATCAGGGCCTCAATGACACGCGGGCAGGTATGGCAGTACTGCAGCACCTGCGCCAGCGAGAGAGCAGATGAACACAGACTTTGCACGAGGTCCTGTAAGCCCCACCTTCACCTCTAAAAAGCTGCACATGCTCAAAAACAGCCTTGGTAAATCTAGGGAACTAATGTCCTTGCCTCACGTTGTCCCAGGAGATCAAACCCACTGATGGTGGGAAATGCCAGAGCACCACTCCTGCAAAGAGGGTGACTAAGCCAACATCCAGCATTCACAGCATTGTTGCATTCAGCACAGCTGGGTCCCCACAGCCTCTCCTCAGATGCAGGGACTAACGTACATAGCTGGGATGCAGATCTCCTTCATCTGCCTCACTGCTGCAAGTAGCTCGTAAGCAACCAACACTCTGCTTTATGCCAGGCCCACACTTTTCTAGTTAGAGCATGAACCATTCTGAGGCAAGGACTGACACCCATCTTGCTGCTGTGTGCAGCAAGACTAAGACATACCATGCCTTGGATGAGGGCCACACAGGGGTCTCAGGGATGTATTGTGCCTGTTCGGCATGGAGCTGCAGAGACATCCTGTATCTGTGCTGTATGCAATGGGTGTCCTAAGAAATACTGTGCTCACGTTAGCTGCTACACAGAGCCCCAGGAAGACATCATACATATTTTGTGCAACACATCTCTGGTGTGTACCATGCCCATGTTTTAACAACACATGTAGGTGCAAGCAACACATTGATGCTATGTATCTTACACCACCAGTGTGGCCTTTGGAGCACACCCCACCCATGCATAGCTGCACAGAGGCAGATCCACAAACCACCCCCCCAGCTCTTGGCTCCCACTCCCTACGGCCCAGGCCAGCAGTAGCTGTCAGAGTCTATTCCGGCTCTATGAGTGATCCTCATTATCTGGCGTTAATAGGAGATTAATTAGTGTTAATTGTTGATTTTCCTGTATTTTCCCAAAGGGGAGAGCAATCTGCTGATCTCCGGGCTGGGTAATTATTGCACTGCTCAGGAATTAAGACAGGAAATTAACCCTTTGTTTGCTGGTGTCTTGCAGAGACAGCATGAGCTGGAGGGTATGCCCCAAAGAGACACATCCCCTGAGAGGAAAAGGGCCAACACTTTCTGGGACAAGTGGTTATGGAAACTGGGTAAGTACTGTCCACACAGCTTAGCAGACAGAAGCAGGAGAGTCCTACAGGAGAACATACCCCAGGAGAAAACTTCAGGGAATCCCTTACTAGTAATGCCAATTCTCCCCTCCCCCAGCCCCTGGGAAGAGCTAGGCAGGACAGCAAGCAGGCTCGCACAGAACAAGCCCTACTGCGACAGAAACATCCTTGCTCCCACTGGGGCCCTGATATTCACAGCCTTCCCTTCCCACCATGCTCCCGGCACAGCTGTGAGCCCCGCACCTTGAGGAGGGAGCCAGGCCATATGCGAATGGCACCGTAGTTGAGCAGGGCTCGCACCACAAGCTCTGGGTGGTGCTCTAGCTTGTAGGCAGTTGCTTGCAGGATATTGTGCAGTGCCGTGTTGCCACTGTAGTTCATGACATTGACATTTGCACCCCAGGCCAGCAGTAACTCTGCTACTTGAGCATTGGCATTCTTGCAGGCCAGGTGAAGTGGGTGCTGACGGTCCCTATCTGCCGCATTGATGCTAGCACCACTCTCCACCAGCAGCTGGCAGACCTGGTAGTAGCGGTCCATGTCCTGGGGTTGATGGGGCTGAGCACAGGCAGCATTCAGTGGTGTCTGCCCTTCCTCATTCTTTGCCTCCAGCTCTGCCCCATAGCGCAGAAGCAGCTGGACATGGTCTGTTAGGCCATGCCGTGCTGCTATGTGCAGTGCTGTGTCATCTTCCTCCTCTGTCCGACTGTTCACACTGGCGCCATGCTGCAGCAGCTGCTGGACACACCTATGTGGGCCAAGATGACTCAGTGACAGGCTCTCCTCTCCAGCTCCTATCCTATCTCCCACCCACTCCCCCCACCCCCTCCGGTCTGTACCATCCCACTGCTTTCACTTTTCCCAAGAGTCCAAAAATCCCTGCTCCTCATGCCCTGGAGTAGTGGTTTTAAGCCAGGATGACTGGTGAGCAGAGATACTATCATCCTACTTCCAGCTAACTCCACAGATCTTTAGTAAGTGTTGTCACACCCAGAGTCTGCTCCCACACACCCAGAGAGGCCTGTCTGCATAGCACATGCCCTGAGCTTTACAGTGTGAACCATCAGCTCTGCATTGCTGGTGGGTAGCAAGAGAGCAGCACCAAGCTCAGCTGCATCAGAGGTGGTCCTGGTCCAGGAACAGGCAGTAATGCGACCCCATTCAGCAGCCATTACTGCAACCACCAGCCCACCTGCAGCGATGAGTAAGGACCCCCTCAAGCCTCATCCTATGTAGAAGGGAAGGGAGGCCCACTGTGCCCCCTGGGTAGAACTCACTCGATGGAGTCTGGGCTCTTGCAGAGATGCAGGGGCTTATAGCCATCCTCAGAGACAGCCTCAGGGTCAGCACCAAACCTGAGCAGCAGGCGCACGCAGTCTGTACTGGCTGCTGCACAAGCCCCTTGCAGGGCAGTCTTACCCCCTGGTGCAAAGTTGACGGCAGCACCCCTGAGCAGCAGGAGCTGCAGGCAGTCTGTGTAGCCCCGGCTGGCTGTGATGTGCAGCGGCGT